TACAACAAGGGACACTGCATGGTTTAAAATCAAGAAGGGAGTGCATCAGGGTTCTATCTTTTCACCATACTTATTCCCTGGAAGGAAGGTTGGGCAATCTACTTCCGTAGCGATACCACCTCGGAAACCCAAGGAGGGGTTGCTATGAATTGGGTCCGACTCGACGGCACATAACAACAACCACAACAACATTCAATCTGTACATTGAACAAATAATCTGAGAAGCTGGACTATATGAAGAAGGTGGCATCAGGATTGGAGGAAGACTCATTAACAACCTGCGTTATGCAGAGGACATAATTTTGCTCGGTGAAAGTGAGGATGACTTGAAATACTTACTGATGATGATTGAAGACTACAGTCTGAAGTATGGATTACATCTCAATCTAAAGAAAACAAAAATTATCACAACATGACCAATGAACAGCATCATGATAAATGGAGAAAAGATTGAAGTTGTGAAGGACTTCATATTACTTGGTTTTTCAATCAACACCAATGGAAGCAGCAGTCAAGATATTGGATATCGTATAGCAGTGGCCAAATTTGCTGCAAAGGACCTTTTTCAGGTGCTAAAGAGCAAAGATATTTCCTTGAAGACTAAGGTGCACCTGACACAGCTATGGTATTTTTAATCACCTCATATGCATGTGGAGCTCTGGTGGCATAGTGCCTAAGGCACTTGACTGCTAACCAGAAGGCTGGCAGTTCAAACCCACCAACCACTCCTTGGAAGGAAGATGGGGCAATCTACTTCCGTAGTGATACTGCCTCGGAAACCCAAGGAGGGGTCGCTATGAGTCGAAATCAACTCTACAGCATATGACAACAACAACAACATATGCATGTAGGAGCTCTGGTGGCGTAGTGCCTAAGGCATTTGACTGATCACCAGCCACTCCTAGTAAGGAAGATGGGGCAATCTACTCCTGTAATGATACTGCCTCCAAAACCCAAGAAGGGGTCACTATGAGTCGAAATCAACTCCAGGGCAGTGAGTTTGATTTTTTTTGGGGGGGGGTTTATATGCATGTGTGAACTGGACTGTGAAAAAGGAAGACTGAAGAAGAGTCAATTCTTTTGAGTTGTGGTGTTGGCAAAGAATGCTGTAAGTACCATTGACTGCTAAAAGAACTAATAAATGTGTCCTGGAGGAAGTGCAGCTGGAATGCTCCTTGGAAGCAAGAATGGCCAGACTCTGTGTCACCTATTTGGTCATGTTGTCACAAGGGACCATTCCCTGGAGAAGGATGTCATGCTTGATAAAGTAGAGGGTCAGTGAAAAAGGGGAAGGACTCAACAATGTGCATTGACACAGTGGCTGCAACGATGGGCTCAGGTACAGCAAGGATGTGAGGATGGTGCAGGAGCAGGCAGTGTTTTGTTCTATTGTACATGGATGGGGTCACTATGAGTTAGAGTCAACTCCATGGCACCTAATAATAACAACAACAATAGCCTTGCTTTCTGAAAGTAAGGAGGACTTGACGCACTTACTGATGAAGATCAAAGACTATTGACTTCAGTATGGATTACACTTCAACAAATCCTCACTGCTAGACCAATAACAATATCATGATAAACTGAGAAAAGATCGAAGTTCTCAGGGATATCATTTTACTTGCATCGCAATCAATGTCCAAGGAAGCACCAGACAAGAAATCAAACAACATATTACATTGGTCAAATCTGCTACAGACGACCTCTTTAAAGTGTTAAAAACAAAACAAAAAAACCCAGGAATGTCATTTTGAGGACTGTGGCACTTTGTCCCAAGCTATGATATTTTCAATTGCCTCATATGCATGCAAAAGCTGGACAATGAGGAAGAAAGACCAAGAAATAATTGCTGCCTTTTAACTATGGATTGATAGAGAATATTGAATATTTCTGGAGTGTCAGTAGAATGAAGAAATCTGTCTCAGAAGAAGTATAGCCAGAATACTCCTTAGAAGTGAGGCTGGCGAGATTTCATCTTACATACTTTGGACACGTTATCAGGAAAGACCGGTCTTTGGAAAAGGACTTCATGCTTGGTAAAGTAGAGGGTCAGTGACAAAGAGGAAGACCTTCAACAAGATGAAGTGACACAGTGTCTGCAACATGGGCTCAAGACACCAATGATTGTGAAGATGGTGCACAACTGGGAAGTGTTTCATTCTGTTGTACCTTAGTTCGCTGTGAGTTGAAACCAACTCAACTGACACCTAACAACAACAACAGAAAAAAGCTAAAGCATGTAAACAAGAAATTCACACAAGTGTAAATGTAAATGGCCAAGAAATATGTATATGTAAGTTAACATTACTTCATGTCTACCAAAGAAGTACTTACAATATAACAGTGAGCTCCTGGGTTGTTGCTTACCAATTTGAGAGGATTTTTCTTTTCTTTTTTTTTTTTTTTTTAAGATAATGCCCTATGTTGGTAAGGGAGTTTGACTCCCAGACATTGCTGGAGGCAGTATAAATGGGCATAAGCTTTCCTGAGAGCAATTTGAAAAAGTTTAAAAACAATAATATTTTCAAGCCTAATAATTCAACTTCATGAATTTATTTTAAGCAAACAAATGGAGATACACACCTAGATTTTCATACTAGGATTTTAATTATAAGAAAAAAAAAAAAACAACTAGACACTATATGCACATATAAAGCCCTATACAGGTTAAATAAATGATGATATGCCAAATTTTGGAGTAGTATCCAATCATTAAAGTTTAAACATATGAGACAGTATTCATAAATATTGTTAAGTTTTTTTAAAGGCAGTAAATAAGTTACGAGACTTAAGATTCATTTACTTGATCTTAAACTTTTCCAACTGTCATCTAATACTTTCCCTAGAAGTCAGTTCTTTGGTTCTTCCTCTAATTTAGAACTGAATTTTATTATTATTGTGGCAAATATGTACGTAACAAAACATTTTCCATGTCTACAATCTTCATATGTACAGTTCAGTGATATTAAATATGTTCCTCATGTTCATCCGGAACTTAATCCTTTTTATTTTCCTAGGGCAGGGTGGACATTCTTACCTCAAGGAATGGCTTTGGTGGGCAGGATTACTCTCAAGTAAGTTTGTAATGCTGACAATAGTGTTTGCTTTTAAAATGATAGATTACAAAGAATTTTTCAGAATCAATTAATTTGTCTTCCTGACAAGAATGGCATTTAAGTCTAGAGATTTTTGTATGGGTGGAATATATTGTCTTATATATATCTCACACTGTGCTATCGATACTGTTTTAAACTACAAGGAAACAAGTTGGAAATTTCATTACAAATTTCTCTTGTATTTTTCTCCCCACAGTAATGGAAAAAAATGCTATTTTTTTCCTGTTTCCCCACCTCCTCATTCAAATCTGAGTCTGCTAGCTGTATATGTTCTAAGGAGAGGGTACTTTTTTCTTGCCAGCATCAAACATGGATAAAATTAAAGCCTATCTGGCTGTTTGGTACTGAAAAAATGGAGAGAGGATGAAGTTTGTGAGCACTCTCCTTCATTCCAGACTTTCCACGAGGATTAAATGAGATTTAATTTGAAAGCAGTTTCATACTACTTTGCACTAATACGATGTACAAATGGAAGGCAGTGTTTGCTTCCTCACTTTCACTAATATCTGTCTTCCTCTGATCCCCTCAACTTTCTTACATCCCAAACATGAAACTTCAAGAAGAAAAGACTTCATAACATGTTCTTTCATGGCACTTGCCAATCTTCTCCTGCAGTCAGAAGTCTTAAAACTTCTGTGTATTTTCCCAGCCAAATAATACATCTCATTATTTGTGAGGTCTTGCTATAGGAAAGAATTGGGTAGCTTTGCTGTAACAGATGGTAAAATCTCTACCAATGATAAATTAAAATAAATGCATATAGCCCTTTCAGTTTTCATGGTATTTTCATATTCATTTTCTTACTTCATTTGAATAAATATCAACAAATGCTGTACTGGTAAGAGTCCAGATAGATATGTGAATGATTCTATCACCTTTCCTCCCTTACCCTGTCTCTCTACCCCCTACCCATACTTCAGAATGAAAATAGTTTAAAACTGCTATATCCACAATTTTACTCTCATCATGTAAAAAGTTTATTCTAGTATTGAAGAGAGAAAAGCTTAAGCCTTCAACATTAGAGATAATCTTTAGTGACAATTACATGTAGATTAACAAGAAATCAATAATATCCTGGAAAGCTGTCTACAAATATAAAAATATAAGTAATGTAAAGTTTTCAAGGAAAGCTTAGTATCCTAAACAAACTGTTGTGGCACTTCTTAGGAGAGCAATCTCTTAGTTATTCTTTATGTTTAGATTGTTTATGATGTTTTCTTAAAGCAGAGGACTCCTGCAGGTTTGGGTTGAAAGAAAGAACAGTGTGTTGGTGACTTTTATGCGCTTAAGAAGCTCTCTCTACAATAAATATTTGTTTGGCATAGTTTTCTAGCATGAAATACCACACTCTATGGGCAAGTGTCCAACTGTGGCCTGGGACGACTACTTGGCCTCAGTACAAGATCCTCACTCTTGAAGGGATTTTCCCTTACTCTAGACATTATTGCCTCATAGTGTCTTGTGAAAATCTAGAGTTTTTCAGACAAAAAAAAAAAAAAGATTGCATTCAGGAACACATCCTGAAGATGTGTTCTTTAAAATAGCTGCTTGACTATCTTTCAGCTACTAAGACACTTAAGGCATTATAGATAATCTTCAACTCAGAGATCCCTGACTACAAGGGCCTGTGGTAGGCATATCTGGCTATCCCCTACCTGCACTCTAGAGCTTTACAAAACATTATAATTTTATACTTTTTTTAATTTACAAAACAATTGGGATTCTTGAGCAAATGGAATAATTCTCTGCTCACTCCAAAGTTACTTCTACTAGATTTCATCAAGACGGTTTTTGAAACTGACATAACTAAAAATCTCTATAGAAAATTATTTAAAATGTGTATTCATCTGTCAACATATTTGGATTTGAAACTTTTGGGGTCTCTTTAAGAACCTGAGTGGCAAAAATGATTTGCCCAAGGCTGTGCAGTACCTAGACTGCTAACCAGAAGGTTGGTAGTTCAAACCCACCAGCCACTCCGTGGAAGGAAGACAGGCAATCTACTTCTGTAAAGATTTACCACCTCGGAAACCCATTGGGGTCACTATGCGTCAGAATTGACTTGATAGCAGTGGGTTTTATGGGTTTTGGACTAACAAAAAAAATTGGCAGTTTGAACCCACTCTGGTGGTACAGAAGAAAGGCCTGGTGATCTGCTTCTGTAAAGATTGTTGTTTTTGCTGTTGTTTTTGTGTGTCATCGAGTCAGTTCTGTTCTGCCTCATAGCCATGCCATGTGATAGAGTGCAACTGCCCCATAGATTTTCTTGGCTTAATCTTTACAGAGTGTATGGGTAAGTTTGAACCGATAACCTTTCAGTTAGTAGCTGAGCACTTACCCATTAGCACAACTAGGGCTCCTTTCTATACAGATTACATTCAAGAAAACCCTATGGAGCAGTTCTACTCTGTAACACATGGGTTGCCATGAGTCAGAATCAATTTGTCAGCCGCAAGTTTTATCAGTTTATTGCTTTGCATGTTGTATGTTTTTCTCTTTTGATAAATAAATCCTTCTTTCATTTTAATATTGTTGCTTACTTGCTAGTGGGAGCAGGAGAGGCTGCAAATTTTGTGGCTTATGCTTTTGCACCTGCCACTTTGGTCACTCCACTGGGCGCCCTGAGTGTCCTCATAAGGTATGTAAACAATAAAAAAGCTTGACTTCTATAAGTATTTTCATCCCATGATAACCACAAGAAATATATTGCTGTAACAAGACAAATAAAAAATCACAAAAGCAATTTGAGAAGACTGTGAAATACATATCAATAGGAACAGGAAATAAATACCAAAAACCAAAACCAAACCCTTTGCTATTGAGTTGATTGCAACTCATTGTGACTCTACAGAGTAGAATTGCTGTAATCTTTGTGGGAGCAGACTGACATATCTTTCTCTAGCAGAGCAGCTGGTGGATTTGAACCTCTGACCTTTCAGTTAGCAGCTGAACACTTAACCACTGCACCACCTAGGCTCCTAGGAAATAAATAGATTGTCTAATTATTATTATTTAGAAAACCCGTGGGAGAACAAGCCTGGTTTCCTACTACCATGAATATGTGTTATGTTGCCATTGTAGTATGTCATCAAGTCGATTTTGACTCATACCGACCCTATTTGTAATGATTCAATGGAACCTGGTACCTTTTTTTGTTAATCTTTACCTGGACAAATTGCCACAGTCCTTTTAATCCTGTTGCTTACTGGTTAATGACAGTAGTTATCAGGGGACTTTAAAAAGCATAGTATTTGCATTAAATTTTAACTCTTACTAAAATTCTTGGATTCTCTCCCTGTTTGAAGACCTCAGTTTCTTTTAGTACTGCAAACAGAATAATTTTTCTATTTCATAGAATGTGGGTCTAATTTTTCTGACTTCATCTTTGTTATGATCCCCAGTGAATGTATTTAGTGAGCCCATGAACTCTTATTTAGAGGCTAAACTACTGTTTTGTTTGTTGTCTTTTTCTTTTCCTTTTATCATCATTCATTCCAATTCTAGTAAAAAGCTTATGCCAGGCCTCCCCAGTTCCTTTTACCTTCTTTGTAAGATTGCTCTGAGAATGAAGTGAGCTAATACACTATCTGGCACTTAGTAAGCACACAATGAATGATAGGTAGTAAGATTATTGTTAATAACTTATTGAGTCAGTTCTGTCTCACAGAGACCTTATGTCTACCAGAGCAAAATGTTGCCCATTCCTGTCATCATCATAATCTTTGGTAGTTTGAGTCCATTTTGCGTAGTGCCTTCCTACCTAGGGGTTTCATTTTCCAGCAGAATATTTCGACAATGTTCTGTTGTGATGCGTAAGGTTTTCATTGGAATTAGGAGCTGTGGTGGCATAGTGCCTAAGGTATTCTATTACTAACCAGAAGGCTGACAGTTCAAACCCACCAGCCATTCCTTAGAAGGAAGACTGGGCAATCTACTTCCACAGAGATACTGCCTTGGAAACCCAAGGAGGGGTCACAATGAGTCGGATCAGACTCGAGGGCATTGAGGTTTTTTTTTTTAATTTTTGGGATAGGTCACCAGGCCTTTCTTCCTAGTCTGCCTATGTCTAGGATTGTGTTGAAACCTTTCCACCATGGGTAACTTTGCTTATATTTGAAATACCAGTAGCATAGCTTCCAGCATTAAAGCTACAGTCCTCACAAGAGTGACTCTGGAAAAGCACCTTTAGTTGACTCCAGTCTTGGGGACCAAATGGCTTTGGTAATACGCTCACAGGAGTGTCAAGGCAAATGGGCAAGGAGGGTGGTGTATAGGAGCCTCAGCAAGCCTACTGGTGGAGCAACAGGATGGTACACTCATGTATCCTGATAGTGCCAATCTGGAGCTTCCTGGGGCCAAAGCAACTGAAACAGTGGGATCATTGGACAGAAGAAAGTATTAGGGCAATAGCAGATGGTGGAGAGGTATTTTAGCATTTTGCTAAGCCATATGGCTGTACCAGTGAGTACCTAAATATCAGCCCTAAGTAGAGTAATTCTTCCTTACACATAAGCGTTTTTTTGAATCTTTCATGGACACATATATTCTAAATATATCATGCCAGGATGAAGTAAGAGATCTTCAGTTTTGATTGGCTTTCCAGGAGAAAATAGGAAAATTGAAAAATGAATTGAAAGAGACCTCTCAGAAGATCATGGGAAGACTAACAGGGTATAAACTGCCTATTATAGTTGTTTAGGTATAAAAGGTTTATAAAAGCAATAACATAGATTTGATTGAGGATCCCTCAGTGGTACAAACACTTAAGCACTTGATTAGCAGCTGAAAGGTTGACACCTCAAACTCACCCAGAGGCTCCTCAGAAGACAGGCCTGGTAATCTGCTTCTGAAAGATCATAGCCTTCTGTTCTGCACACATAAGGTCACCATGAGTTAGAATTGACTCAATGGCAACTAACAACAATGATAGATATGATTGACCATCATTTCTGAGTTTTAAACTCAATTCAGGTTTTTGATGTCACAAAATATATTTCACATGTCATATACCACAGTGTGATTTCTGTGCTTCTGTGAAATCAAACCATAATTCAACCAGAATGATTGTTTGTTTTTTCTCCCCTAACAGTGCAATATTGTCTTCCTATTTTTTAAATGAGCACTTGAATATTCATGGGAAAATAGGCTGCATATTAAGTATATTGGGGTCAACTGTGATGGTTATCCATGCCCCTCAAGAAGAAGAAGTTGCTTCTTTGCATGAAATGGAAATGAAATTGAGAGACCCAGGTCTGTGATTCAACCTAAAGACACACTCAAATACTATTCCACTCTCTCTCCTTATCTAATGATATTTTCAATAATATTATAATAGGCTTCCTACAAGCCTGCCTGTGTGTTGTGAGACACTGTAAGTTTTGATTGAATATTAAGAGTTTTCTGAAAAGGCAACAAAACTTAATTTTGTGTTCATGCTTCTACTCTACACAGTGAAAAGGAAAGATGGAGATGGTAGAGGCAAAAGACTTACATTCTACCCCAAACTTTCACCAATTTCTCCCTCTGAAAATAAAGAGGCAATCAGACAATACCTGCCCTACTTCATATTGTTATTTGTGAGATTCCAATAATATGTTTATGAAAGTCCTTTGTTAACTACTACTGAGAGCTGTACATAGAGTTTTTTTTTTTTTTTTTAATTCACTTCTGTCTCTAAAACTCCTATGCTTTTAAATTAAAGACTAGAAAGATTTTCAGATAGGCATGATGCTATTAGCGTTCTCTGAAGTCTAATTCCTTTGTCTTCCTAACAGGATTTATATCCTTTGCAGTCATCATAACTGTGATCTCCTTGGTGCTGATTTTGGTGGTGGCTCCCAAGAAAGGACAGACCAATATATTGGTCTACATTTCAATCTGTTCAATGATTGGAGCGTTTTCAGTTTCTTCTGTTAAGGGCCTGGGAATTGCCATTAAGGAACTATTAGAATGGAAGCCCGTTTACAAGCATCCCCTGGTCTTTGTTTTGCTGGTTGTACTTGTGCTTTCAGTGACTACACAGATTAACTATCTTAACAAGGCACTGGATACCTTTAATACATCTCTTGTGACTCCCATTTATTATGTGTTCTTCACGTCCATGGTAGTGACTTGCTCTGCCATCTTATTCCAGGAGTGGTATGGCATGAAAGCTGCAGATATCATCGGGACCTTGAGTGGGTTCTTGACCATTATCAATGGAATCTTTCTTCTACATGCTTTTAAAAATACTAACGTTACCTGGAATCAGCTGACATCCACTACTAAGGAAGAAGTCCCCTATCTGAATGGCAATGAAGACAAATATGCTTTACTAGACAATATAGAGTGCTCAACCTTACTACACAATGATGATATTACCTTGTTTAGCAGGACTGATGATCCAAATCTCTAGGAACCCTAAATTTTAACCAATATAAAGACACTTGGAGAAGAAAAGGAATACTTATCTGCATATTGGAAGAACTATTAGAAAATATGGCATTATTAAAATTTTATCTAATAATTTAGATGTGAGGCCAAGTAAAAATGCCTCCATGTTTGGCCATCAAATTTGAGTAATAAGGTTTTGATGCTTCTCCAGAAGACTCCTGCTTATATTTATTTCTACAAACTTGAAATATTCTCTGAACATAAAGAAGTGGAAGTGTTCGATGAGCCCCAAAACAATCTTTCTAATGCTCAAAAAATATTTGACTCTGCCTCATGGTTCTTCATTTCTTTGGTTGCTATTCGTAGCCTCATGGTAATTCATAGATAAGGTTAATAATTCTGAGAAGCAGAGTATCAGTCATTCTCTGATGAGTGCTTGTTTTGAATGATTAAAACTGAATAACTAGATAGCTAGTGCACAAAGTATTAAAGAAAAAAAAAAAAAATTGGCGTGCTTTGGAAATGTGTTTCCTAGTGGCCTAGAAGGAGCTCTGGGAGCACAGTGCCTAAGGCATTTGACTGCTAACCAGAAGGCTGGCGATTCAAACCCACCAGTCACTCTTCAGAAGGAAGATGGGGCAATCTACTTCCATAGTGATACCGCCTCAGAAACCCAAGGAGGGGTCGCTATGAGTAGGGTCCAACTCCATGGCACATAACAACAACAACACAATAGTGTCCTAGAATGCACAAGGTGGCCTACCCATGGAGGACTTCTAAACTACTGACTAGTGTATTGTAATTCATTGACATGTCACAGGAGTTTATTACCCATTAAAAAGAAGACAATGAAGGATGATGAAAAATAATTTAGACCCTAGGTAAATGAAAAGCAAATATTTTTTTATCTTCACAAAAACATGAACACAAATGATTTGTTTACAGGTTCTTTTCACTCAGACATGGATGGAATTAAGACAACATTGAGTTCCTGTACAAGTCCAAATGAATTCATCTTTGGAGTTACTTATATTCATTTTGTTTCTTTCTTTTACTGTTATTCCAAAGATAAGTTTTTGCTGAGGTAAAGATGTTTGTAAAATAATTGCTTAATTATTTCAGGATTATATTGTATACTTCAATCTTTCTCAGATATTTGATCCCCAAAGGGTGGATTCTGTAGACTGTTTTGAAATAATGAGAAAAATCTTTATGAAACACTTGAATTATCATAATGCTTCTCTTGAAATGTGTCACTTTCACCCTTATTAAGGGAATTAAAATTAGCCACTAACCTTTTTAAAATACATATATTTTCCCACAATCAATGGCAGATTGTCTTTGTTAAATTTCATGATGACCTTATTTCCACATATTTTATTAATAAGTGTTTCAGAGAGAGGATGTTGGGAGGGGGTGTTAGAAGGGAGTGTTAACTTCCTGGAAAACAAAATATTAAGACCTCAGGGGCTACTACATGAAAAAATACCTTTTGCATGTTTAAATTGTCATAAAATATTCCTGTCTTGATCCAAGTGTACAGCAAGAACAACATTTTTAAATCAGTTACCATCAAATCAGTTCAACTCATGGCATCCTCACATATGTCAGAGGAGAACTGTGCTCCATAGCGTTTTCAGTGACTGATTTTTTGGAAGTAGATCACCAGGCTTTTCTTCTGAGACACTTCTGGGTGGACTTGAACCACTAACCTTTCCGTTACCTGTCAAATGTGTTCCCCATTTGCATATTCATACACCCTGGGATGCCACAACATTTTTATATGGTCTTTAATGTTGAAAGACAGATTTCCCATCACTCATTGATTTTATGGAAAAGAAATTGGCTATCTTATTTCTAGACTAAACTAATTTCTCTCAAAGGAAAACAAATATCCTAACCAAGAAGTATGTCTTTAAAAACGAAAACAAAACCCAAAAACCCTGAAGTTAACTGGACATTCTCTACTCTAACACTAAATGATATTCTAAGGTTTGTTTTGCATCATTTTTTAAACTAGCTTAAGCCTACGTAGGGTAATAACAGTAAACTCTCATTCAGAATGCTATTCAAATGGCTTCATCTTCTCCTGTCCTATTGCACTATGACTGATGTTCACATGACCACCTGAGATAACTACAAAGTTGTAAAGTGCTGGAATAGACCCTTCAGCATAGGTTAGTGGTGAGTGCAATTCAGTGCTTTCCAAATTTTTGAAAATTGATAATCCATGAAAGGCACATGGGTTGATACCTCTGGTCAAATTCATATTTACCCTGTTGATTGCTGTTTCCTTTATTTTTATGTCAGATATGTAAGCTATGAACACAAGTTTGTAAGAAAGGCATCTTCTGAAAAGGTAGTATTCGACAATTGTAGATGTTATTTTAGAGGGTTTTTTTCTTTTTCTTTTTTTTTTTTCTTATTGGTATAGTGCCTAAGGTATTTGACTACTAACCAGAAGGCTGGTAGTTCAAACCCACCAGCCACTCCTCGGAAGGAAGACTGCGCAATTTACTTCCCTAGAGATACCTCCTCGGAAACCCAAGGAGAGGTTGCTATGAGTTGGATCTGACTCCATGGCAGTGAGGGTTTTTTTTTTTTAGTATTGTGATCTCCAGGATACCTTCTTGGTGGTGAGATTATAGTTTCAGACATTCCTTAAAGTCACCTGTTACAAAGCTTTGCCCTTGGTATATCCTGCCCAGGTCAAAGTTTCCTGGAACACAAGGACTCATGTGTACCCTTGGATTGTAAAATGAGCTGGTGATGACACATGTCCAGGAGGAAGACTGAAAAGATTTAACAACTGGAACTATGTTGAGAAACAAATCTTTGAAAAACTTTCTATGTAAAAATCACTGATGGGCATATGCATTGGAAAAAGCAAAATGTTACTTTAAATCTGAAACTAGAATTTTTTTTTCCCCAAATGGGAAGGTATTGTCTGAGGAAGGAAAAAATTAAAAATGCTGGATCTCTATATTCAGACTAACTATGTTAGTCTTAATTAGTAGTTTCTTATTTACTTTATATCATAAATGTAGACACCTTAATACTTATTATATAAGTACCTGCACATCCTTGAGGATTGCAAAATTGTGTTCCCATAGGAAAAATTGTAAGCTTTTTCTAGTTCTGTAAAAATAATCATTTCATTTTATATATTGGCTTATAATTTTATTCTTAGATTACTGGTTAATGACTTTATTTCTAGGTCCAAATGCAAGATGTTCATAGTACACTTTAGACTTAATACCATGAAGTTAAATTAATTGTTAGAGCATTAAATCAAGTAAATAGAAAGCACCTTGCATCATGCCTAATATATATGTGGCATTTAATAAAATTTAGTTCTCTTTGGTGAACATTTTAATTTTTGTAGTCTTATTACCAGAATGGTGAGAACACTTGATTGTCAGTTTCCTATATTCTTCACCTTTTCTGAATTTGAGTCACATTAGCTCATTTTAATCCAAATGAAAGGGATTCATTCCATTATCATTATTATCTCAACATCAAGATGAAATGATTCCAAAAAAATATTTCATTTTCCTTAGTAATGTCAGTCAAACTGAACTAAACACTATTTTCAACTTTCAGCTAAGTTTTGTGGAAAAGTAATTTGTATGACTATATATGAAAGGTTCTCAAATACTGACAGTTCTTAAATATTTTCAATGAACTCTGGTCATAAAATTTTCTATTTTTCAAATGTCTATAAATACTGTTCACTTTAGAAAGTTTACAAATTTTAAATTGACTGTTTCTGTATATTTGTCATTTGCAATAAAATAATGTGGTTTAATTATGTTTTTTGGAGTTTAATTCTTGGTTTCTAGAAGCTAAGTATATATAATAAAAAATATCCTCATTTAATTTGGGATGACATAGAAAGTAGCCACAATAAAGTTAATTATGCTTTTTATTTTTATTTTCCTTGAAATTGAATTCTATGTTTTTAGAAGAAGGTTGTCCAGAAAACTGTGTTCATATAACAATTTATTTGGCACCTGAAAAAATGGTAGGAAAGCTGCTTTTTCCTTGACTCATTTTATTGAGTCATATATGAGCTCAAAGTAGTCATTATAAAAACATCTCCCCTCAGCGCAATAATTAAAAAGAAGAGGAGATGGAGAGGAAGAAAGCATTATAAAAATATTTGGTAGCATGTTTTACCAGCCCTCAGTGAATTTCCTTCCAAGCTCCATGGAACTAAAGTTTCACTTCATTTACTAATCATATCACCATGTCTTTGCCAATTTTCCATTTTGATTTGGGCTCATGTATGAGGACAACTCCTTCAGTTATTTCTATGGAAATCAATTGTCTAGAGTACAAAAGGCCTCTTTCTTACTGTGTCTTACTCTTCCCTCTCCCACTTTTTTTTTTATAAATGAGAAAGGCAAAAATATGATATGCCCTAAAATAACATAATTACTTAGAGACAGAATGAGGATCAAAATGCAAGCCTCCTAACACCCAAAATTGCTCAATCCACTGAACGTAGTCACGTTTCAGAAGTGAGGTCTGCTAGGCCCAGAAACAGCACATCTTCAGCACCTTTAGGACAAAGTAGCAACAATGTTAGATTGCCGCAGGACCAGGAAGCATTTCGTTCTGTTGTGCGTAAGGTCACCATGAGTCGGAACCTACTTGCCTGGCACCTAACAACACTTCTCTCCAGCAAGCTGTAATTGTGAATTTAAAAAATTTTGGCACACTGGCTGCAGCTTTAAGTAAGTTTCTAAAAGGTATTCTTAGATTACAAGGGTTCTTAGATTTTACTTTATAATGAGCAATATATTTTTCCCAAATGAAAGCTTTGATTGCAATTAAAACAAACAAACAAAATCATGTTCAGAAAACTAGCTGACACACGTTTTTTCCCCTTCAGTTTAAATCACAAAAAATCCTTGCTCCTTGAGAGAAAACATGAACGCTATAAGTATAGGAAAAAACCTTTGGGTTAGAAGGTATTTCAGTTTTTGTATATTAACTTCCTCAGGAGGTAGAGGGAGG